TATCAGTTATTAAAAGATGTATATCGTTTCAAATGACAGCTAATGATCTCATGATTGTATCTTCGGTCGTCAGATCAGGTTAGGTAGTACACATACACAACACACATACGTCAGTATTTAATTGTATCTCAATTGATAGAATTTGTTTTCAATCCATTTACCACATCTATTTTTCAACCCGTCACAATAATTTACAATAATAACAATGATAAAAGCGTAATCTTAATATAAAATATAATCTGTAATTTGTCTCTCTCTTTGGTTAAATATAATTATTTCTCTATATTCCATCATAAAGTACATATAAAAAGGAAACATATATATATTTCGATGTTACATTGTAAATAATTCATAACATTCTGCAACACAGAAATTGGAAAATTCAGCAAAATTTTAACAAGTTTATTAAAGAAAGGTAGTTTCAAGTTAAATTAATTGAAATTGATTTTCTCGAGTTTTTAAAAAAGCAGGTTAAATCAATTATATCCTTCACAATATCAAATGTGCAATTAGGCCTACATAATTTTTATTATATCGATTCTTCCAAAATATGAACACGAAGATTAGGCATATAAAAGAAATATCTTAACACATTTTCAATGTTCGATAAAAAAGAAATGTCTTAATCTTTTGGACAACCTATAGGTATGAAAAACATACTTTTCATACCTAATAATTTGTGTAATTTTCGCCTTTTTTTTGTAATTACCTACATACAATAAAAAACAAGTTTTTCGTACCTAATTTTTCAAACATCCTTTAAATATTTTTTAGATTGCTCATTTTGCAGCTATATCGAGCATCTCCGCCACATCGACAATCTTCTCCCGCGTCTTTCCCAGCTGTTTACCACGCTCTTGTTCAACGCGGTCGATCTTTTGCCAGTCTCCATAAGATACTATCTGGATGCTCTTGGCATTCAAGATATCGCGCACACCGTTTGAACCCGCTTTATTCTCAGTCGAGGATGTCAGTTCTTTGCACATCAGATTGCCGACTTGGAAAGCGTTCGTCATAGTCGATAAGATAACGCCGACCGGTCCGGTGGCTGCCCATCCAGCGCTGTAGAGATTGCCGTCGACCTTACCGCCCTTATTCACCACACGTCCCTTCCTCGCGTCAAACGGAATCGAACTATCTATTTGAGCGGATTTGTAACCGATGCTACGCAGAGTCAAACCACACGGGATCGTCTCGAATTCGTCGGTTGCCTCGGCCACCTGATCTTGAATCGTATCTCCTCGCAGACGACTCACTGCGAATCTGACACTTCGCAGTTCATCGCCGCCATGGAATTCGACGGGACTTCGCAGAAAGATCGGATTTAGCTCTTTAGCATGCGTGGAGCCGCTCACGGATTCTTCTAAAGATTTCAACATGAGTTCCGTCAGTCGTTTTCGCGGTCTGGCTAAGGTCGGCACGATATCTCGTACGCCCGTGAAGTCTTGCGGTCGCCAGAGTTTCTGGCAGTTCTCCAACTTAAGGAGCTCGCGCAGTTCCGCGATTGTGAATGCGGCTTGCAAAGGCCCTCTTCGTCCAACCATGGAGACTTTTCGCACTCTACTACGAGATAAACGTTCCAGGGCGAACGATGTAATGTCGGTGTTCTGAAATAATTGAAAGAGATCGGAGATAGCTTAACATTTTAAATTAAAAGTTACTTTCATCACGCAATTGATAAAATTAAGTGAAGATTTTGTTTTAAAATATATAATTCAATCTAAGAATCTTTTTTTCATATTATTATGAATCGTAAATATTCATAAAATTCCTAATTTAATAAAACATTAGTTAAAAATCGAGAGTTACCTTGAGCTTGTCGATAGGTGTCAAAAGAATTCTCGTGATATCTATAGCTACATTGCCTTGACCTAGAACAACCACTTCTTCCACGTCTAGATTAATGTTCAAGTCCTTGTCAGCTGGCACTCCATTGTACCAACCAACGAAACGTCGACCTGATATTACATTGTTTAAGTATTCACCCGGTATATTGAGCAATCGGTCTTCTTGAGCGCCGTAAGTCTAGGATAAAAATAAAGAAAAACAATTATTAATTAAACAAAAATATTATGCTAACTTTTTATTACATAATTAACAAATATGGTATAAAATACTAGATACGTACCAGTAATACAGCATGATAAAAGTCACATAACTGATCGACGGTAATATCCGTGCCGACATTAACATTGCCTAGAAACTGAACACGTGGATTGGTCGCGGTTTTATGGAACGTATTGATAACATTTTTCACTTCAGGGTGATCCGGAGCAACACCGAAGCGCACCAAACCGAAGGGAACAGGTAGTTTCTCCAATATATCGACTCTCACATCACCTGAACTCTATTAATCACAATTTGATACAAATATTTCATGTAATTTTATTTTTCGTGGGATATATATTCAAATTACTTTAATAAATTTATTTTTTTAACAATTTATATATATATATAATGCTATATATGTATATATTGCTATTAGTTATAATTAATCTATTGCTATTACCTTCAGTAATTGCTGGGCCGCATAAAAACCTGCCGGACCCGAACCGACAATGCATACCTTCGGCATATGCTGTCCGGTGGATAGGAAGCGAGTGCAGTTCCTGATAAGGTAGCATTTCATCTTAACGTGCGGTGGCGTCGATCTAAAACGTGGCACCGGATTTTTTATACAGTTACAATATGCCTCTGAAGAACTTCGCCAAGATCTCGCACAAGGTCGTTTTGTTATTCCTACGGAGAAATCGCCCTTTTCTAGAAAGCTAAATCTCTCTCGGTCACCACGTTCTATGCATCAAACATGATCCCAAAACATCGGTCATCCGTTGTTACAAAACAAACATGATCTACAAGTGTCGATCTCGAATCTGAAATTATTTATTAATTCGTGTTATTTATCGTTAAATTATTATCGCGCAAAAATATCAGATATGAAAAATTACACAAGAACAATATTAGATTCTTTCATTCATATATTGTATATCGAGATTTTGGATATCACCTTTTTTATATTTATTTAAATTTAAAATATTAAAGCTATTCTAAATTTTAATTAATAAGATCTTTGTAGACTAACAGTCTTCTCGCTATAATTTGCAAGAAAATAAAGAAAAATTAAGATTATTTAAAAATAAAAATAAAATATAAAATTTTCTATTCTCTTCCGGACAAAAAAACGTTTCTCATTTTTAGTCTCTGATATAAATATAATTACCATTTCTGTTTTGTATTACTTGTCCATGCATGCAATCATTTTTTCCATTAATGACATTTCGTTTTACATTGCACATTTTACAAAGCTTTACATATGTATGTGTTATCCATAATAAAGGATGAAATATTTACAGTGCAAATGATATTTATAGATTCACAATTATTATTTACAATTATCTTCAAGAAAGAGAGAGTGTATATATAATTTTATAAATAGTCGTTCAAACTTGCAAACCTAAATATATTTAATGCAAAAGCTTTAATAAAGAATTGAAGATTAAATATTAACTTCAAATTTATTATATACATACATATTAAATTTTCACAGAAAAAATTGTCACTTATATTACATTTTAATAGAGTAATAGAGTAAACAACAATCGTTTCGATTTTTAACGAGCAATATTACCCTGTTTATCAAATATGCTTATTTCCAAACATAATTTTATTTATTTATTATTTATTATAAATTATTATAAATTAATTAATTTATTTATAAAATTTAAAAAAACATAAAATACTTTTAATGAGTATTTATATTTGTACACACTAACAAAATAAATGAAATAGATTTTTTCTTGTTTTTATATGTTTGCAAATCTTACCATATAAAATCGTTATGGGTATTATCGACCAAATTGTCATATTATCTTTGCGTGCATTATGCGACGCGGTGAGTATTTCGCGCAGATCATTCAATACTTTGTCATTACGCCTATAAGTCTCCAATTTTATGCGATAGCCTTCGTTATCACAAATCTCTACATTGATTTTATCGAAGAAACCACTCAGGAGATGTAAGAGACCGATGTTCAACTGCGTTAGCAGAGAGTAGCCGACGAGAACGAGTGTCTGTCCGGTCTGGAACTTTTCTAATCGATCGTAAAATTCAGCGATCATCCGATGACTATCGTAATCGCGAACAAATTGGAAGCTCAATATCTCGTGAGTTGGATCAATTTGCTGCGTCTGCTCTCTTGTAATTTCTGCCGTTGGGAAACATATGGTAGATTGCGTGTCTCGTACTATATCGTCGATTTTGTTTAATATCTGATGAATTTTCGAGTCACAAAAGTGCGAGCTGCGTACTTTGTTAAACGATCTTCCCGTTTGTATCTCTAAAGTTTCCGGTGCCCGTAAATGCCACTACAAAAGGAAAACAATCATGTTGTAGATGTATCCGTTTTTTGTTTTCAAAAAATGCAGTAAATAAAAATTTCTTATTTTTTAGCAATAATGTACAAACTCCTATAAAATTATTCCTTCACACACAGTAAATATAATTGTGATACACTTAGAGAATATTATTATTATAAAATTAAAATACATTTGTAGATCGTTGTTTTTCAATTGCCAGGTTTAATTTTCGAAAATTTTATGGAAGACTTTTTAATGGAAACTTTTTAGTCTGTCGCAAATTTTGAGATATGTCTTTTCTAATTTGCGATTTATACACGAAGAAACACGCAGTTAAAGAGTTTGCTTACAGTATAAGATTTTTCTGCTGGCGATTCGATCTCCCTCGCTTCGTTACATATCTGCGATAAATGTTCTCTCGGTTCTAAATCTTGCTTCTTGCAACGCTCGTTGTAAGAATCGACACGCCATTTTTTATTCATGAAACTACTGTTGCTTTTCTCTAATATTTCCCGGCCAACTATCTCGTTCGCAGAATCTATTTGACTCAATCTGTAATCCCTGAGATATTTATTAGCGACAATCCGCTTGACGTGTTTCAGTTCGAAGAGGATATCGTTGTATCTTTCCGCGCGAAACATGCTTATGTTATCTTTTATGACTTGGCATTGATGATGCTTGAAGAATTCGTTGCACTCCCCGAGTCTCCGCAGAAAATTACTCGGAATATCCCGCGGATGAAACATCGCTTTTGTAGGCAACACGTTGCCGCAGTGCTGCCTGAGTATATTCAAATACGGTGCTACGTAATCTCTGCCTTTGAAATTTATACAGACGACATACATTTCCGAATTTCCTGGTTTACTAGACGCCGGCTTCGTTACGGTAACCCATTGAAAGACGCAGGATAGCAGATACATCAGGCATACGGATTGATGCTCAAACAGGGTAAAGAGCTTCAGAAGAAAATTGCCACCTTTTTGCAGGAGGTGCATACAAGCTACCGTTTCACACAAATGCAATTGCGCTACGGCGCTTTCTTGCTCTCCTGGCACGTCCGTGCAATCTACACTTCCATCCGCGGTGATCAGAAGGATTCGTTTTCCTCCATCAAGGAGTTTGCATCTCTCTACCAAAACATCTAGATTTCTAAGATCCATGATATCGCCCGTATTGTCGGCGCCAAAGCACCAATGATTTATTTATAAAATTTAAAAAAACATAAAATACTTTTAATGAGTATTTATATTTGTACACACTAACAAAATAAATGAAATAGATTTTTTCTTGTTTTTATATGTTTGCAAATCTTACCATATAAAATCGTTATGGGTATTATCGACCAAATTGTCATATTATCTTTGCGTGCATTATGCGACGCGGTGAGTATTTCGCGCAGATCATTCAATACTTTGTCATTACGCCTATAAGTCTCCAATTTTATGCGATAGCCTTCGTTATCACAAATCTCTACATTGATTTTATCGAAGAAACCACTCAGGAGATGTAAGAGACCGATGTTCAACTGCGTTAGCAGAGAGTAGCCGACGAGAACGAGTGTCTGTCCGGTCTGGAACTTTTCTAATCGATCGTAAAATTCAGCGATCATCCGATGACTATCGTAATCGCGAACAAATTGGAAGCTCAATATCTCGTGAGTTGGATCAATTTGCTGCGTCTGCTCTCTTGTAATTTCTGCCGTTGGGAAACATATGGTAGATTGCGTGTCTCGTACTATATCGTCGATTTTGTTTAATATCTGATGAATTTTCGAGTCACAAAAGTGCGAGCTGCGTACTTTGTTAAACGATCTTCCCGTTTGTATCTCTAAAGTTTCCGGTGCCCGTAAATGCCACTACAAAAGGAAAACAATCATGTTGTAGATGTATCCGTTTTTTGTTTTCAAAAAATGCAGTAAATAAAAATTTCTTATTTTTTAGCAATAATGTACAAACTCCTATAAAATTATTCCTTCACACACAGTAAATATAATTGTGATACACTTAGAGAATATTATTATTATAAAATTAAAATACATTTGTAGATCGTTGTTTTTCAATTGCCAGGTTTAATTTTCGAAAATTTTATGGAAGACTTTTTAATGGAAACTTTTTAGTCTGTCGCAAATTTTGAGATATGTCTTTTCTAATTTGCGATTTATACACGAAGAAACACGCAGTTAAAGAGTTTGCTTACAGTATAAGATTTTTCTGCTGGCGATTCGATCTCCCTCGCTTCGTTACATATCTGCGATAAATGTTCTCTCGGTTCTAAATCTTGCTTCTTGCAACGCTCGTTGTAAGAATCGACACGCCATTTTTTATTCATGAAACTACTGTTGCTTTTCTCTAATATTTCCCGGCCAACTATCTCGTTCGCAGAATCTATTTGACTCAATCTGTAATCCCTGAGATATTTATTAGCGACAATCCGCTTGACATGTTTCAGTTCGAAGAGGATATCGTTGTATCTTTCCGCGCGAAACATGCTTATGTTATCTTTTATGACTTGGCATTGATGATGCTTGAAGAATTCGTTGCACTCCTCGAGTCTCCGCAGAAAATTACTCGGAATATCCCGCGGATGAAACATCGCTTTTGTAGGCAACACGTTGCCGCAGTGCTGCCTGAGTATATTCAAATACGGTGCTACGTAATCTCTGCCTTTGAAATTTATACAGACGACATACATTTCCGAATTTCCTGGTTTACTAGACGCCGGCTTCGTTACGGTAACCCATTGAAAGACGCAGGATAGCAGATACATCAGGCATACGGATTGATGCTCAAACAGGGTAAAGAGCTTCAGAAGAAAATTGCCACCTTTTTGCAGGAGGTGCATACAAGCTACCGTTTCACACAAATGCAATTGCGCTACGGCGCTTTCTTGCTCTCCTGGCACGTCCGTGCAATCTACACTTCCATCCGCGGTGATCAGAAGGATTCGTTTTCCTCCATCAAGGAGTTTGCATCTCTCTACCAAAACATCTAGATTTCTAAGATCCATGATATCGCCCGTATTGTCGGCGCCAAAGCACCAATGCTTCAATGTGTGCCTGATGAATCTGTCATCAGCGACCATCCTGTTGTACGAATTTCCCTCGCAGTAAGGATTCAACGTGGTGGCCAACCAATTCCATCGTACATCGGGCGCGTTCGTCTTCAACCAGTGATTCAGGGCGGTCAGAAAAGCGCCTGGTGCTTCGCACAGATGCACGGAGGTGAAATTATTACCGTTTTCTTCGCGACGAATCTCGTTCAATGGAACCAGGAAAAAGTTAGAAGCGATCTCGTAGAATTTACACCAGGCTTGAGTCACGAGTTCTCCTTGTACGTTCTTTTTCACAGCGCTTATGATGTCGCCCGCTTTGTTCATCTGGTTTGTATGCTGCTGCCATTCGCACAGATTGAAATTGTTAAGGCGACTCTTCATCTCGTTTAGACTATCTTTCAGCATTTGCAAATTATCCAGCCGCCATGGCGGTTCCTTAAACATAGACTCGGACTCGGGTAATGTATACGTCTGTGTTTGTCCATGACTAGCCTCCGAAATTGTGAAGTGCTTTTTAAACAATGTTTCTATGTTATACGTTAGCTTAGCATGTCTATTTTTATCAACTTTTTTATTCTGTGGCAGCTTTTGTTGTTTCAGAGAAAAACTGTTCCCTTTCTCCTCTGTCATGATGTAAAATATACAATTAATATGGAAATATAGCAGAATGATTGAAAAGTATTTTTATCCTTGTATATATTTATATGATTTTCTATAATTCATATTCAGTATTCTTCTTGTGAGTTACCATCCACTGTTTTTTCAATTTCTTGATCCTGGAAGTTGCAGTTGTTTCATGACAAGATTTATTATCTGTTACAGCGTGATATCAAAGGTCGAGCAGATATTTTGTTAAAATAACTCTGTATATAAAATATGTGAAAGATAAAACTGACTTGCATGCAAATAGTGTTCTCCTATTCCAGTAAAGTCATGTAAAATGTATATGATAAAATTGATAAATTTTTAAAACTCAATATTATAATACTAAATTTATTATGTAACTAATGTATTTAACTGTAATTAATGTATTTAACTGTATATTGTTCTTTCCTCTGTTACATTTTTATACTTTCAGTGTCTAAAATAAATCCGTTTCATTTATTTGCGTTTTCTGCACCTCATTTCCTCCCTTCTATTTGTTTATTATTTATTTATTTAAAAATCGAATATGTACATTTAATCCCGAGTTTAATAAAATGTAATAAAATACATCTCCAACAAGCAGATTTTGTGTTGAAAAAAGAAAGAGAAAATAATGTGCGTGTTATGTGCAACTAAGAGATACTAATTACTAAAATCTCATTAAGATTCTTAGAAAAACCTGTTGCTTATATCGAGAGGATTATTTACGATTTTGAGGTTAGTCAAGATGGCGTCGATAGTGCGGTTCGTGTACTCTACGCAGGTACGATATAATCAAAAATATCATCGAATTATCATAATCGTACAATAATCGTGCTCGATAATCTATTCCTGTACTATACATGTGCGTATATTTCGTTTAATATCCCTCTTTTGTGCATAATTTTCTCGATTGACGCGTTGAAACTCGAGCGACGAGATTGAACGCGATTTTCTTTGTCTTTTGATACATTTAAATCTATTTATATCATGCGTTTGTAACAAAATATCATTTCTAAAACTATATTATGATACGATTATTATTATATTTTTTGTATATTTGGCGTTTTAAATGCGAGATGCTTGCATTATTGTCGGATTTCAAGCAAACATGTAGCGCGTGAAGAGAGAATCGATTCGCGAGAATTTTCAAGTAAATGTAGCGCGCCTCTCGCGTGAAGGGAGAATCGATTCACGAGAATTCGATGGCGGGAAGTCGAAGATGGCGTCTCGAGTGCGGCTCGCGAGTTACGGAGCTCCGCGGTATAGTTGAAAATATATCTCTAATTATATAATAATTGTGTTTGACAATCTATTCCTGTATATATATGTGTAGGATATATACATATATATATCTTTCGTTTGATATTTTGCGTTCGCGTATCGTGATTGACGCGATGAAATTCGAGCGGCGAGAATGATTGTCGGACGCGATATTTTGATAGGTATGGAATATTTATGTGACATCGCGTTTCTAAAAAATATAATTCGCAAACATACTATCTCGTTATATACGGCTATCATATACTTTTATAGTTAGTCTATTTTGAACGCGAGGTATTGTGTCGGATATCGTTTCAGTCATCGCGTTTCAAATAAATATAGTTTCGGTTATAGAAAAGGAGAAACAAGGAAAAATTCTTCTCTCTCTTCCGTGAGTGGGTCGAGAGCCTGCGAGAATTCGATGCAAGAGGGCGTTGTAGTACGGATCGCGAGTGGTTGTATTTCAAATTGAAAATATTCGAACCGCATAAAACGATCATTTCGGAAGTGCGTTTCTGGTGAAAAAACTTCTTGAATCTTGAGGACATCGAAGGAAGAGAAGACAACCAGTGAAAGGTGCGTAAAGATTATTTTGTAATAATGAATCTTAATTTGAAATTCAATATGAATTTATATTTATTAAAACGAAAAAAGTATTATAATAGCTAAAAAAATCATATTACTTTGTACTTAATTATATATTTTCTTACATTGCTTTGCCTTACGCATAATAATATTTCTTACTTAAAAGAATTCTTAACTCTTATACAAAAATTATGTTATTTAATTGTTCAATGAAATTTGTATATAATAATATACAGTATTCACTATTTTATATATATAGATAATTTAAACGTAATAATTAATATTAATATCAAAAATTATAATGCATACATGGATTTTTCGCTCCCGTTGAACGGATTTTCGAACGCAACCTCGGATGCGCGGCCCTCTCGTCCAAGATGGCGTCGATAGTGCGGTTCGTGTACTCTACGCAGGTACGATATAATCAAAAATATCATCGAATTATCATAATCGTACAATAATCGTGCTCGATAATCTATTCCTGTACTATACATGTGCGTATATTTCGTTTAATATCCCTCTTTTGTGCATAATTTTCTCGATTGACGCGTTGAAACTCGAGCGACGAGATTGAACGCGATTTTCTTTGTCTTTTGATACATTTAAATCTATTTATATCATGCGTTTGTAACAAAATATCATTTCTAAAACTATATTATGATACGATTATTATTATATTTTTTGTATATTTGGCGTTTTAAATGCGAGATGCTTGCATTATTGTCGGATTTCAAGCAAACATGTAGCGCGTGAAGGGAGAATCGATTCGCGAGAATTTTCAAGTAAATGTAGCGCGCCTCTCGCGTGAAGGGAGAATCGATTCACGAGAATTCGATGGCGGGAAGTCGAAGATGGCGTCTCGAGTGCAGCTCGCGAGTTACGGAGCTCCGCGGTATAGTTGAAAATATATCTCTAATTATATAATAATTGTGTTTGACAATCTATTCCTGTATATATATGTGTAGGATATATACATATATATATCTTTCGTTTGATATTTTGCGTTCGCGTATCGTGATTGACGCGATGAAATTCGAGCGGCGAGAATGATTGTCGGACGCGATATTTTGATAGGTATGGAATATTTATGTTACACATCGCGTTTCTAAAAAATATAATTCGCAAACATACTATCTCGTTATATACGGCTATCATATACTTTTATAGTTAGTCTATTTTGAACGCGAGATATTGTGTCGGATATCGTTTCAGTCATCGCGTTTCAAATAAATATAGTTTCGGTTATAGAAAAGGAGAAACAAGGAAAAATTCTTCTCTCTCTTCCGTGAGTGGGTCGAGAGCCTGCGAGAATTCGATGCAAGAGGGCGTTGTAGTACGGATCGCGAGTGGTTGTATTTCAAATTGAAAATATTCGAACCGCATAAAACGATCATTTCGGAAGTGCGTTTCTGGTGAAAAAACTTCTTGAATCTTGAGGACATCGAAGGAAGAGAAGACAACCAGTGAAAGGTGCGTAAAGATTATTTTGTAATAATGAATCTTAATTTGAAATTCAATATGAATTTATATTTATTAAAACGAAAAAAGTATTATAATAGCTAAAAAAATCATATTACTTTGTACTTAATTATATATTTTCTTACATTGCTTTGCCTTACGCATAATAATATTTCTTACTTAAAAGAATTCTTAACTCTTATACAAAAATTATGTTATTTAATTGTTCAATGAAATTTGTATATAATAATATACAGTATTCACTATTTTATATATATAGATAATTTAAACGTAATAATTAATATTAATATCAAAAATTATAATGCATACATTAAAATTATATTTATTACATAACATTATCTTAAATTATTTTATACTGACTCCTTTCTCTATTTTGTATAGGCTTATTATATTTTGTTTATAAAATTATGTTTATATATGTGACTCTTATTATTATATAAATACAATATTCTTGTTATTACTTGTATTTTTCTTAAATTAGGAAAAGCTATTAAATTTAAGGATAATAAAAAGTCGCAACATACAACATATATCTTTTTCTGATATGTATTTTGGATGCTGTTACGATTTGCGATCGATTTGATTTATTTACATGGCAATGGAACTACGAGAAAGATCTAATGTAATTTTATGGAACATAGTTTGCAGGAAGCTTCCTCGAAGCAAAGCGAAGTCGTGCGGCTGCTCGAGTTGCAGTTACTCAACGCTAACGGAAGAACAGAAGATCTGGTGCTAGCTTCCTGTAGCAGATTCCATCGTCCATTCTTTCCTGTCACTGCTTTCATCATTGGTAAGTGCGACGCTTGCATGCGAACGCTTTTATTTCCTGTAGCCCAGTTTGCGTAGGGCCTTCAGGTCCACGTTACCATAATAATCTTGGCTGGGAAATGCATAAAAATATTGCGCGTGACTTAATCGTAACATATGATTGCCTTCAATCGGAATAGCGACCTTTGAATAAGTTTATTCTGATTTTAATAATATAATTAAGATTATAGGATAATGATTTGCACATTAATTCTTTACAATTTCTATTTCACTGGATAAATTTGACTTTATAAATTGGAAATCCGATTGAAGCTTGTATCAAAAGTAGAAAAATTTAGTTTTGCAAAAAGAAAGATAAGCAAATAATGATCTCATCATGTTAATAATATAAAATTTATCACACAATTTTTCTTTATATATTGGATAAGATTTTGCAAATATTCAATTTGCGATTGTATTGTTTGTTTTTGATACGATAATTCAATTTAAATAAAAAATATGGATAAAATATTTATCATATATATATATATATACACACATACGTTTCTTTCATTCATTCGCTCGTTTTAATTACGGTGATAATATGATATATGCAGGATATTTAACGTGTGTTAAGATATCTATTTTCAGTTTTTAACATATTGCATATGTTACGAATAAGTTACATACATTATTAGATTGTATTAGCTTTAACATGCAACAGATAAATACATAGAATGTGCTAAGAAAGGTAAGACACAATACTAGTATACTATAGAAGAATTAAACGGAAATTAAGTGTGAATATCAATGATCATCGATCGATAGAGATCGATTAGGGAACGAGGACAAACAAATATAAATCATACTAATAACCATTTAATAACCATAGTATTAAATAAATATGTCTCAAAATTATAAGTAATTTTAATATCTCAGGTAATTAGTAAATTACATAATTATTAAATATTAAATATCATTAAATAAATGGAATGTTATAAACGAAATTTTTTAATATTAGCATCAATTAGCATTAAATATGCGATAAAAATACGAAGTAAAATCTTTGAAGAATTTTCTCTTTTTTATTGTACGAACTTTTCGCTTTACTTAAAAACATTACATGACAAACCGGCCAAACTTGCTTATGTATTGGCGCCAACAGTCGGAAGAATTTTCTAATTGCAAATCATCGATTACGCGAGTTCATAGATTTGATCTCGTATATGAAATCAAATACTTTTTGTTTTTTTTTTCTGTTTTAATCGTGCGTCTTATATAGAAATGAAAATTTAATCGAGTTTTATTTCCCATGCTATACATGCAGAAAAGTTAGCCTTTTGAATGAGTACGGTCCTTACAAAACTGAATTATTTTTAAGACTGAAAGTTTTTCTCAGGAAGCACATTTTATTTATTCTTTGATGTAAAAAAATACATCATCGAGAAATAGATACAAACTGTGCGTTATTAAAATTAATTAGTATAAGAAATAATCAATATAACAAGATAATTTTAGACGAGCTACAATCAATAGAATGTATTTTTAGAAAATTTCCGATCGCGCAAAGATATATTTTTTATCCTCAATTATCGTGTTTTTATTGGCACGAAATTATAAGTTTTTAATCTAAATTTTTATGACGAAAAAGATTGGAAAAGACAAGAAAAAATAGATTAAAAATAGATAAAAGTATATAGAAAGTATTTATAAAAGAGAAGAGATAACATTTTTAGAGAGAAAGGGAGGGAGAGAGAGAGAGAGAGAGGGGGGAGAGAGAGAGAGGGAGAGAGAGAGAGAAAAAAAATTTAGATTAAGACTTTTAGATTACAAAAAATTGCCGACGAGGCATCACGATTAATATAAATTTTGTATATCAATCGTTTGAGCATTTCTCAGAAAATTTTCCGGGAATAATTTAGACTGTATTTTATTATATTAATCAGAATATTATTAATATTGATTATAATAAATTATATGGCATTTGATCAAAGAAAATAAAAAGCTGCAATTAATTTTGTACGCTACATCAGCAACGATAGCAATTTGGGCGGGATTTATATATATATATTTGCATCTATAAACCATGATTATTTATATATATGTATATATATTGGAAAATTATAGAAAAAGAAAATTATAATAATATATTTTGATAGAAATCTTGAAAATTTTTCTAGAAAATTGTTTTAATAGTTGAAAAAATCGCATTAGTAGATTTTTAAATAGCGATACATGTATTTATTGCAAAATTCACATGATTTTACAAAATTCGCGATTACATTATTCGTCGGGCTATAACCGATAATACCTCCATCTCTTTCCTTCTATTCTAGCATAATTACAATAATAACGATCCGCTCTGTGCATCAAGATTGCGCGATGGGAGGGCGACGAAAAAAATCACGCGAGAATTCTCAGGCACGGAATTTACGACAGTTCGATTGCGCGCTCCTCATCCTCTCGGAATCTCGCGGATTTCATTTCAAGATCGAGCCGTATTCTTATGGAACGCAAAGTGGAAAAACGGCAGATAAATTCAATCGCTCTCTTGAGGGCAGATTTCTTTTTTTCTTTTTTTCTGGCTCTCGGCGCTGATTTCCTTCCCGGAGAAATCCTTTTTACGCAAGGATTGGATTTTCCTTGATTATGTACGTGTGAGTGTATGTATGATAGAGGAAACAGAGAGAAAGAAAGTGAGAAAGATAAAAGAAGAAAGAGAAAAAGAAACGGAAATGAAGAAAAAAAAGGACACTTTGATACAATTTATTAGTGTAAAATCGTTGTAAATTTAAGCAATACAAAATAAATTAAAAAAGAGATAACATCAAAAAATACAAAATAGGATGTAAGTTTTTGCAAACGTTCCTATTATTAAATTATAGAATTAAAATGAGATTATAAAATTAAAAATTCTTCTAATTTATGTTGAATATTGGAGTACGCTTTTGCTAATTTTAGGAACATTTAATCATGATCTTCATTATTGAAGAAATATATTTCGATTCAAAGTTATTATGTCTTGCAAAAAGAATCTCTATATTTTAATTCTGCATTCTAGATTTTGCACCAATAACTTGTATTAAACAATAGAATTCGATACAATTAAATGAGAGCAACAAAGGGACAGATAAAGAGAGACAGAGAGAAAGAGAGAAATAGTGAATGAGTGAAGGAGTGAGGTAAATTAGGATTTATTCCTGGAGAGGAGAGGAAGGCCTTGCGGGCCCTCCTGTTGAGGGCCTGGGTTTGAGGGGCGTCTGGTTTGACTTTTTGTGCTCGCTCTGGATGCCGGCAAGTAGCTCACTCTTCCGGATGCTCTTCAGGTCCAGGTCGCCGTAGTAATCCTCACTGTAAAGCAGAACCGAGAAAAACCCGGAAGTCAGGACATGCACTCGGTGCGAGCTACTTGGCGTGTTCTTGTCGTTATGCTTGCAGATGAGATATACATGCATGCAGATATAGAAAAGCTATATTTGCACTTATTGTTAGTCACGAATATTTGCAGAGGACACGCATTTCTTTTTCTTTTATTTCGGATAAAATATTGGCAGAACAAAATAAATCTATCTATTCTTGTTATCTTATTTAAATATATGCACATTTTTATGATTTAGTATTTCTCTGTGGATTGCCAAGCATTTAGAATAGGATTCATCGAAATCGATTATTGATATTTACACATATCATAAATTCTTTATAAATATGTGTAAATTATAGAAATATTTACGTATTTTAATATAATATTTTTGGAAAAATGGAAATTTTTTTTAGATATAAAGCAAGTTGATATTGCAACAAAACATTAGAATAGCGGGAAAGATAACACAGACATTAGCCACATGTTAAGAGGTCATTAACAAACATAATATTAATCCGCTGATTAGCAGACGTAATCATTTGCTAATTCACGATCAAACGCATAAAAAAAAAAATTGGCCTTTATAAGAAAAGATTGATTCACGACGCGACTCTTCAATTTTTGTTGCATGACAGAAATTTCCTCGATTCGATTACTTTTTATACAATAGTTACGCAAAATGTCATTATATATAAGTACCGCGAAATCATGTTGCAACGCGAGAATATCTCTTTAATTATAGATCATCCGCGAATGCAATTCCGCGATATTGTGCCCGAAAACTCTCCAACACAGTTCCATCCTCAGGGAAGCCTGAAATTTCCTGCCGACGACTACAATTACCGAGATAATCGAATTCGGATATTTTTATAATTATTTGTTGCACAATATATTGCGCCCATAATTGTTTATTACGCAACGCATTCCGTGGTCGTTCTTTTGGTACTCTCGCCGACTTTTCACAGCGCGTATTTTTTCGCGACTTGTTCTGTTAATTCAATAGTAACTTGATCCAGCTTTCATTCTGATAGAGAAAAATAGTATGAAGAAATTATTTTCCATGAGACGATTAAAAAATATAAAAAAATTAATTGATTGACAAGAAAATTAAGAAATAAAACTTGTTATTCTTTTGCTAGAAAAAGATCGATCTAGAGAAAATTAAGTCAGAATTTTTATGCAAGAAGAAATTCCAATTTTAGGAAAAATTTATTTTATTCTATAGTTTTAAGATAGAGTCAGATATGTAATATTTTCTCTTTTTTTTTAATTACATATATACGATTTTTTTACAGGAAAGTTTTTAAATTTTGTTTAAGAATTTTTTTATATTTATCAATTTATGGTAATATTTTTTACAGTGTATTTATATATTTTTTTAACGAATATACTAGCAAGAAAATCAGAATAGTTTGAGAAGAGAAAACATTCATCTCTAAAATTATAGAAAATTTGTTGATCAGTTCAATCATCAGTTCAATCAGGCAAATTATAAATTGCAATAATAAAAGGAAAATAATATCGCAAGATTAGCGTGGGCAAGTAGAAAGGAGGTAGAAGGTTTTGTAGCAGTTGTATTGTAGAAAGACTAGTTGAATACTGTCACATTCTACGCATGTTCTATTATCCGTGTCAAATCGCGCGTAACGGGTTCCTGGGTGACTGGACCAGGAATCAGCGCAAGTCTACGTTATATTGTTTGATCCGGCATAGAATCTGACGTTAGTGAAAAAGTTAAAACAAGAATTTAAAAAGAAAGATTCTGACAGTCTTAAGCTTTGAAACTAGAAATCCTGAATAATATAATTATTATATGATAAAAAAATACTATTGTCATTTAAATGTGACGTGTTTTCGTTCAAATTTTTCTCCAGCTAAATTGCTTGAACGGTCGAAAGGAAACTTTCGAGCTTTAATGAATTAATTAAACAATTCGCGAGATTAAGACAATCGGTACCTTCGTTTCTGCACTCGGGCACCTGGTCGGCCCACATGCACACCCTAGCCTCACGATCGTAGGCTAATCCAGGGCTGCACTGATAGCGGGACGCTTCCCCGTTCCAGCAGTTCCAGAAGACGTCGCACTTCTTCTCGTCGGCGTAGATGCCATAAAGACGGGTGCAATGAGGCGTGCTGATGGGTGGCTCGAGCTGCGTGCGCTCGCCGCAGTCCACGTTATGCAGATAATCGCAATTCTCGGTGAGGAACTTGCTGTCGCTGGCGTCAAACGCGAGACCGTTACCGCACGTCTTCAGTTCCGCCGCGTTGTTGTCGCATTTCCAATATTTGTCGCACGATATATGGTGAGGATAGAACCCGAAGTCGTCCGGGCATTTGAATGATTCCTGACCGCTCGTTCCTGAAATCATCAAGTAAAGATTGTAGATGATGGAAAATTTATATATATATGGTAAATTTGTTTAAAACTCTTTGGACAATTTTTGCGCTAGACTTTCTGTTAGATTTTCATGAATAATCTGGTTTTGAAAGAGCCCTATCGTGGAGGATTTTTAATTGCAGTAATTTATAACTAGTATTTTAATTTTATTTTATATACAATGTATGTTCTCTATATTCAACTTTTGTAACGTACACATAGTCACGAAATAAATAAAAAATAAATTTTGTTATTAAAGAAAATTATTAATAATTAGTAATCAATAAATTAAATTCAGCTATGATTTCTATAGCGATCGAACTTATAAGATTATAAGTGAAACTCCGAATTCTTAGTTATTTATTAGCATTTATCATCGTGTGAGATTAGAAATATAGAATTCTGATAGATATAGATTATCATTCACATTGCATTCGATCACATAGTCTCGCAAGATTTGGTTTAGAATTCAAACGTTGAAAATAATCGTCTCATCGAAAATAGGCTGCATTATGCAGGAAGGAGCTAAGTAGCATGAGAAAAAATTTTTCAAAAATAGATCAAAAACTTTTTCTCTTTTTTTAAAAAAAATTTATCTTTTGTAACATTTCTAAAAATTTACTTTTAATTTTTTATTACTGTTTTTTTTTCTCCAAAAGATATCTCATTTTTTATGTAAAATTTCGAGATTTATTCCTTCCTGCATAATTGAAATACAGTGATCTCATGATAAGATCGTAATTAAAAACGTATTAAAGACGATGCTCACCATCCGGGAACGTCCTCAGGGTCCTCGCAAGCGCCGCTACCGTCGGAGTCGCCGATCTTGAAGACGGTGCCGATCGGACAGCCGTATTCCCTGGCGATGCCCTCGAGGCATATGTAGTACTTTCTGCAATCCTCCGGATGGGCGTGTCTGCTGAAGCTGCCGGATGCACCACTCACTTCGCCCGCGGCCGGACACGTGAAACCTCCGGCGACCTCTGTAATAAATAGGGTACAGAATTGTAAAAGAGACAGAAAAAGAAAGAGAGAGAGAGAGAGAGAGAGAGAGAGAGACAGGAGGGGGAGGGGGGACAAAGAGAGAAAGGCATCTCGTTTCTTCGCGTTACTGATCAGTCTGTAATCAATAAATTAAATTTTGATTAAGCACTCTGAACAGAAAAAATTCTAATTTTTACTAGAATTAAATGTCTTTTATATTTAAAAAATCGTAAAAATAATTAGTAGTCTCTTGAAACGATAGCTATGGTTTCCAAAGAATAAATAAACAAAAAACGCATAGCCATATTTTTTTCTTTGAATTCGAGGATATGACATAAATTACTGCAAAATATAACTTTGCTATTTTCAATCTTGTCCCTACGAAATTAGAAAGAATAGGGACAAAGAGAGAAAGGCATCTCGTTTCTTCGCGTTACTGATCAGTCTAGAGTTGGCAAATCGAAAAAAAATGTGAGGTATAATACATGATGTATATGAAACATGTTTGTGGGGGAATAAAATATATATCTGAGACTCTGAATATGTAATAGCAATCCAATCGACGAAAAGTGTAGAGAAAAACGAATTTGTCTTTTACCATCAGTGTATAAATTTTCTTATAATATAATTTTATAATATTATGACATAAATTACTGCAAAATATAACTTTGCTATTTTCAATCTTGTCCCTACGAAATTAGAAAGAATACTATTCTTGCTTTCAAATCCGCGTTTTGCTACTTCAAATTCCTTGGATTGCGGTTAAATGCGATCCCGAGTTTTTAGCTAGATATCACCGTTCTCCGTAGGAAATTACAGGTTAAAATTAACTGTCGACCGCGAGAGAACCTTCCATTCCGGGATTTCCTTTTCCCATTCTCCCCTTTTAACAGCAATGAAAAATGGCATGCGAGCAGCAGAAGATCGATCAATGTCATTACAAGAAATTAGGAGAACATAGGGTGTAGATAAATAAAGTCTTCTTTTCATTCCTCTTTTTCACGCGCCATCGATCCATATCAATTATGCGTTTTTTTCTTTCTCTCTCGCGGACGCACGTGGCATATGACGCCTGAATAAGTTAAAATGTCTTATGTAAGGGGCAGTATGGGACGGTAACTTTCGCCGGGCGCTTTCACTTTGGGCCCGTGGCCAGGCCCCGTCTGCGGCGTCTCGTAACTGGGCCCTCCCAGCATCCCGTTCACCCGGTTCGCGTCGTAGCGGCGAGTCTGTCTGTTTGAATATGTCTGCGTGGAACCAGCTGTATTCACTTTCGTTTTTCATGGGACCGGTCCCGAAAGCGACTTTGATATATTCATCGACCAAAGAATTGCAGATTATAGTCTCTCCCTTCGCCCCGGGTTTCATTTGCGTTCGACTTCTTTTGGAAAATATGCGACATTAGATTCTTATATAATTACTCGTTTGTAGTAAAGATTATATAAAGTGAGAGAAATATATATATATATATAAAATACAAATTCGTATATCAAAAATATCAAAGTTTTACGAGTAGACCGAGGAATTATTTAATTAATGATACTGATTTAGATAATATTAATTTTTGTTTTTATATTAAGTTTTAATATTAAGTTTTGTTTTTGTTTTTAAGTGTGTTTATGAAATAAAATATATCATGTAATCGATATTCGATATACTTTTGTAGCGCATTTTTATTAAAAAAAATAGTATATTTAAATTTCTTTGAAAAGATTTCTTAAATATTTTGTTAATTCTTAATGATTGCACCATATGTTTTTCTCTCTGTAGATAAAGTTGAGTGATGAAAGATTTATTATGGATCTGATACGTGATATATAATAATTGATTATGTGTTTGAACTATATGTATAGTAAATATTTTACACATCACACACTTTTATATATTGTATGAACAAATATTTTTCTCTAACACAGATATGAAAGTCTAATATGAATCTTTTTACAACCTTCTATTCTCGTTGAAAGTAGCGAATTTCTCTCAATTTTAACATAACTATTCAATTTAAACAACATTCGCATACAAAAATTCTCTTTTTACCTTTTTACACCATGAGTATGTGAGCTTTACGTTTCTTAATCAAACTGAATATTAAATACAAATATTTTTTTAAACAAAATTCTCAATTAAAACATTATCAATATTTTCTTATTAAAAACTCGGCTTTTTCAATTTTTTTGCGTGGTTAATCATGCATGTGCAAAATTCGATATTATTTTATATTATCGAGAAAGTGTCAGCATAATTTTTGTTGCTACAAAACGCATCCTTGAACCTTCCTTTGATGAATAATGAATAAAAAGAAGGGTCAAGATCTGGGCCAAGGTTATACCGCGATGGCGAGAAAGCATGACAAAATTTTTTAGGCCAGAGGCGGATTTTAATTATCACATTAATTAACGCGGACTCAAGGAGGTTGATGCGTCAGAAAATTTATTAATTTCATTCTTAGAGATAATTAAAGAATGTGTATGATTTTATCTAGAGATATCAAATTTTGAACTATTTAAGATAAATGCAATATCATTTAATTAATAAAAAAGAAAGAAAAAATGTGAAACATAATCCCATAAAAAATTTTAAAATATTGATATAATCAGAAAGTATTTTTTTTATATTTTATTTTGAGAAGAATAATGATACACAATTATTAACATGCTATGTGTAACTACGGTTATAGTTTTGTATGAATAATTATTATATTGTCAATGAAATCTACCAGTTATTTTTCTGCATTTGTAAGACACACATAAATAAAGAATTAACGTATTATTGGCACAATATATTATAACTGCAGATAGAAGACATTTTATAAAATAAAAATATTTTTATCTTAATGTGATCGAAACAATTGTATCTATATAAAAAAAAATTATTTTAGTTTAAAAAAAGACATTTTTATATAATTTTTATAGTTATAATTTCGTCAATTATTAAACGCGATCTAGAAAATGATATTACATTTAACTGTGGAAAGAATAAAATCATAATATTTTGTTTATAAATTGAAAACTTGCACATGCAATTGCGCGAAGATGAATCAAATCGCGATCGAAAATTCGAAAGTCCAAAAATTATGGCCGCGAATCCTTCGCTCTTCGACGAGATTCTGGCGCAGGGTGACTCGGTCTCGATTAAATCCCGCTCTCGACGCACGTAGGGCGCACTGCTCTACTCTACACACGCGCATGATCACACACTGATGATGAGATCCCGTCCACTTTCAGTTTATTTCGTTCGGAGTCGAACATCGCATCTCACTCGCGACCTTCTGCATTAAATCGGCCCAGTTTAACTTCACCACCCTTGCTGCGTCTTCAGCGGTGAGTGGTTTTTTTTTTTTTTTTTTTTTTAATTTACGTACCGGCGATCAGTATGGCGGCTATCACGAAGTACGTCCTCATGGTTCAATGAAAAGGTCGACTGTGCGCGGAGGTGAACGAAAAATTAACGAGAAAAAAAAAGATCTACAGGCACACTTTTAAAGACACCGCCTTCGCTTCGCTGAGAGACAGAACTCTGTGTTTCGGCCCTGTCGTTTGCCACCTTTATATAAGTCATTGGTCACGTGTCTATATTCCTCTCCCCCCCTTCTATAGCTACCACCACCTTCTTCGGACACTTCGAGAAAAGGTGCACCTCTCTACTTTTCTCATATTTCTCTGTCTCCTTTCTCTCTCTCTCTTTCCCCACGTCTCACTTTAGGGCTTTCTGTCTTCTTTCCATCTTTGATGCTATCCCCTCTTTCATCTCTCTGTCTCTCGCTCTCTTCTTCTTTCTCTATGTTACGAGGCAATGAAATTCCGCACTGGATGTCCGATGTGTTTCCATTCTTGTCAGCCTCTATTCAAATTCTTGAATGAAGGAATTCATCGCATGAAAAAGAGCGTGATTATAATAACGATATTTCCAAGGAGAATAAATTTCTAAGAGCCCTAAAAGTTAAAGAAATATGGAACACATATGCAAAATAATAATCTTAAATTATATAATAGTTACAACGAGAGAAAAGCTAAAAGATGGAAAATGATAAAATGATAATTAGTTATAAAATATGCGTGTAAAACTAGATTTGCTTCGGTTGCCGAACTTACTAGGGTATTGAATCATACTTTCCTCTATATAATAAGATGAATTTATACTGCACTTTATTAAAAAACAATCTAAAAGTATCTAACATCAGCAAGAATAATCACACATTAAGTAATGAGTTTTTTATTTACATACATGTATATAAAGTATATGAATTATTATTTAAGACATCGATTACACTCTTTTCTCATTGCGATGCAAAATTGTTTTTGTAAAAATAAAAAAAAAATATATATATATATAATACCATTTAAGATGATTGTTATTCTGGAATTTAATGATCTATTATATAGAGAACACAGAGCTTCAAGTAGTATGTCTAGAGAAAGGGAAAGTAAAGAAAGAAAGATGTGGTCAGACGAAACGAAAGATGTGGTCAACTTCTCTTTTCTTTCTTTTATCTATGTCATTAAAAAGAAAATCCGAAAAGAAAAGTTGTATACTTTCCATATCATTTATGCATATTTTCTTTCTCCAAAAAATACATTTTATTTTCAATAAACTTTATTATTGTTATATATTATATCGTATTTTTAAAAATTTTATTTATTATTTAAAAATTTTGCTTTTAAGAGTAAT